GTTGTTCTTTGATTAGAGATAAGTTTGCCGTCTTAATAATAACGAAACAATTAATAAAAAGGTTTATATTAAACTAGTGTAACGATAAAATTAAATCCTCATGCTTATAATTATGCGTTTGAAAAAACCCAGATTGACTTTCGAACGTCAAGGACAGAATTTTGCAATCAGATTTAATAAGTTGAAGTAAAAGCTAATAACTATACGCAGTCTCCATACCCAAACTGTGGACTCAGATGCAGAAGTTCCATGAATTTTCCCACCTTGGCCATTTGGTCCGGGCAACTTTAGGGTATTGCCTATCAGTTGTACATAGTATGGAAAAAAGCTTTGCCGTAAGGATTTTTTCACGAATTGAAGTTGGGAGGGTGTAGGGTCTCCATACCTCAATTATGGACCTCAGTTTCAAAAGTTCCGCGAATGTACCCACCTGGGCCATCTGGTCCGGGCAACTTTAGGGCGACGCCTATCAGATGTACCTAGTGTGGACAAAAGCTTGACCGTAGGGATTCTTTTACGAATTAAAGTTGGGAGGAGGTAGGTTATACATACAACAACGTTGGACCGTTTCCCGATTATAGGTCTAATGTTAAACTGAAATAGTTCGTGTTGTTGTCATTCCATCCTCTTCTTGTTAATTCAGATCAGTGTAAAGAAATTGTTGTTCTGATTTCAATTTTTCAGTCTGTTCGCCGAGTTCTTTAAATATGCTTTTTTGAACAGCTGTAATAATCTTGGATTTAAAATTTTTTCGATTAAATTAGCTAAAATTAATTCATATCTCGTACTATTTGTGTGTCACTGCCAGTTTTCAATTATTCCAAAACGAAAACTGTGAATATTTATTAGTTTTCCTTCAACTTGTAGTTCTGACTGCAAAATTCTGTTCTTGACGTTCTAAAATCGGTACGATTTTTTTCTTTCTTTTCAAGAGCATATAAGCATGTGAATTTTATTTTATCTTTACACTAGATAAGTATGGCCTATTTTTATTAATGTTTTCATTATTATAAAGACAAACCGTTTCTAATCAAAGGTAATAAAAAAGGGAGAGGAGTAGCTAAACGGAATTTTGAAAAGAGATGCCTGGCTGTCAAGAAAAATTACGTTGTTTTGAAAAATAAATAAATAAATATATGAATAATCAATGTCTTTGTGAAAATGTATTGCATTTCGTCTTCCTACTGGAACTCATTGTCATTAGATTTCAATAGACGTTGCATGTTAATGCAAGTCTTCGGTTTTTAGGCATGATCAGTTCGGCGCGTATTTCTTAAAGTTCGCTGGCTTATTGTCCGCTAGCTTGATACACCTTACTGTTTTCTGGCTTATTGTTCGATAGCTTGAGTCTGGTATATTTTAATGATAAAAATAACATTTTATAAATTGTGTGCACATAAAACGCATTTCCCCGTGCTTGTGATGTCTGCCCATATATTTTACCATTTTACAGCTATGAGTGTTTGCTTTTACAGGATTCAGAAGTCGTCGTTGGTTGATTTCTGACTTATTTGTTTTTTTGTGTTGTTAAGTTAGTCAGGCTTTTGGTTTTTTTATTGAATTGTTTTAAATTTTGTCACGTTCTACGTATATTACCTATAGGTTGCACTTTGTAAATACAGAGGATTCACATACTACGCCTTTTGTGGGAAGATATTTAATATTCAAAGATATTAATTTTGTTTAATACTGTTGGATAGCAGACACATTGAATTCTCAGGAAGACTCAAAGTAAAGGGAGGGGTAGTACAGAATTTTAGTATGATTATTAACTCTTAGAAGTTCAAGGCATATACATGTTGAAAATATGCCGCATAACCCTATGTTTTGACCTTTGCAAAAAATGTAATGCATATGAACTTCCAATTCCAGGATATAACTTCTAACGTAACTTCATAGTGGCACAATGTTAGCTGTAAAACGAGTTCCTACAACATTTATGGGAAATTGCATTGTCTATATTTACAGAAGTGCAACCTATAGTTGCTTACATATACGTTATTTTAGACTTTGGTGAAAACTTGTCTCATTTGCTATTATTTTAAGTATTTTTGTCATATAGCTCTTCAACTGTTTCGGTACTTATACATCTTCGGATTTCAAATGTTTGGCTTTGAGCGTTCCTGATGAAGGTAAATCCAGAAAAGCGCTTCGGACGCATGAAAGTATTAAACGTGTTGTTTTAAATTTTTTGCAAACATACTGCATATTCCAATTTTAAAAAAGTATTACTTGTAGAGTTTGCAGGCAGTTTCCTGACTCAAATGTTGTCATTACAGGAAAATGGGCGTACTTGGTCATTTTATTTTGGCGATAATCCTCTGTTCTGCAGGACAAGGTAGGAGTTTAATTTATGTGCGTAATGACATTGCGATAAAATATACACTTGTACGACTCACGAACTTAACATTTATTTTTTATTTATCTTTCTTGGAAGCAATATGAGATTGATGCTTATGTTATCCTATAAAGAGAACCTGTCGTTCCAATCAATGATTCAAAACATCTTGGAAGAAATAAATGAGAGAAAATGACTAAAAAACAGAAGAGTGAAAAAACAAAGAAAAATGAAAACAAGGAAACTAGAAGTAATATAAAACATAGAAAAAAGGGAAATACAGAAGTACTTGTATCTAATAATTAAGAAAGATCTGTAAAAAAAACGGAACAAAAAAATCATGAAGCAAAGCAATACAAAATCTTTTAGTCCAAGAAAAACAGATATCCAAAGCCAAAGCAAAAGAAGATGAATACTACACAGGAAAAATTGCAACATATGTTTTTCATATGTTTTCAAACATATGAAACACATATGTTTAACATATGAAAACATATGTTGCAATTTTTCCTATGTAACATATGTGCCCAAAACACAACATAGAAAACCAAAGATTGACCAATTTGATCACCACCAAAAATTGTTGTTAACTCAGAAAGGGTACGCAGTTCCTGCTTCACTAGCACCATCCGTCGTATTGCTAATGGGACATTAAAATAGATAATATACAATTACATTAAGGAACTAGACAGGTCTTTGAAAGAGCGCATAACATGTATACACCTTCTAAAATGTAAAATGATCAATACTTTACATATTACTCACCTGTGGCATGGTGTTCAGGTTAATTTTTCATGCCTGTGCAATGCCTATAAATTTACTTTCACTATAAATGTTCTTTGAAGTTGGCATATGGTATACACGATTTCAGAGAAAGCGTCGCATTGATTGATTGTTAGTACAACTATTTATAATAGTATGCATTTAATCCTTTAATTAATTATTATAGTATATATGCGTTAGTAGTGAACGTTATGCCTGATAGTCAATACAGCTGATGTTGAATGTATTTGTTCGATCCATCAATTGATATTATATTTACATGAGTAGACGGTTTATAGTACGGAAGCGTATTAGTGCCACACGTTTTTTTTTATATTTCTTCCTATGTTTGCGTTATAACGCTAACATTTGCGTTATAACGCAAACCTTTTGCGTTATAACGCAAACCTTTGCGAAATATCGTAAACCTTTGCGTTATAACGCAAACCTTTGCGTTATAACTCAAACATTTTGATTTTAATTATTCATTAAGTTTTGAATATTTAATAATAAAAAACTATATATAATATTAAATTTACATTTTATGTTTATTATATAATTTGAAAGCAGTGTTTTGTAAATGTCGGCATTTGCATGTCCGTCTGTCATAAAATTTCGGTTGTGATTTAGTTAAGAGAAGAACCATGAACACAAGGCCAAATCATTATAATAAATATGGATAGAAATAAAGGAATACTTGAAGTGCAATTATACACAAATTAATAAATGGTTTATGCATCAGAAGATTAGATAAATTTAACAAGTAAATAGATATGGTATAGGCAAATTTTAATTGAAAGGCCAAGATTTTGACAATTTTGAATAACGGAAAGTGGTAAACTAGATAAGAGCAAAAATAATGTCATACAATTGTGAAACTATAAGTTAAATAGACAAAATGATCTTTCTGCTTTAAAATTTATTATTCAGAAAAAAACATTCTTTTTAAATTATGATGTAAGAAATCGTTTGTTGAAATCTCAGAATATGATAAAGATTCTTTAAAAAAAGTCATTGAATTTTAATTTCAATCTAATGAGGTAGCTATTTAAGATGCTTGGGTAGCAATTTGAATGTAGAGAACATAATTATAATAAAATAACATCTTCATCTTATACATTTATGGAAAAAGGGTAGCTTGTTTGAATCTAACCAATCTTACACAATGCTCAAACGAGCGCTTACTTTGGAAGTATACTTGAATTTGCCTACACTAGCGGGGTTGATTTTTTATTTTCTTCGGTATAACTTTAATTTACTCAATTTTCTTTGTAATATATATATATATGTATATATATATATATACATACATGAACTATCCTGCTCATTATTATCCCATGATGTGTGCTAAACACTCAAGCATTTTACATTGCAATGAGTACCAAGGGTGATAAATTTTAATAAATGCAGCCTCCTCCATTTATAACAGCTGCTTCCTATGAAACTTAAATAAGAAATAAAATAAAACAAATGTTTGCGTTATTTCGCAAAGGTTTGCGTTATATCGCAAAGGTTTGCGTTATTTCGCAAAGGTTTGCGTTATAACGCAAAAGTTTGCGTTATTTCGCAAAGGTTTGCGTTATAACGCAAAGGTTTGCGTTATAACGCAAACATAGGAAGAAATATAAAAAAAAACGTGTGGCGCTAATACGCTTCCGTATTATAGAGCAATATTTGTCGCATGCTAATCATCATACAAAATTGATTTCTTGTATAATTAATAACCATTTGCGTTTCTTATAATAGTAAAAATAAATAATCATATAATAATAATAATTACAAGAATAACAATAGATTATCGGTAGGAAAAATGAAATTTCCTACGTATTCTTGTTGCAAGTGTAAAAAAAAAGTCAATTTGTTAAAAGCATTTATTATATTTTTTATTTTTTTTAAGTCCAGGGAGTGACAGAATTTTTCAGCTGGACTCATGCAGCACATTACGATTCTAATATCAAACAATATGTGCTAGATAACTTCAATACAGACCAGACTGCAGCTTTCGGATGGAAGTTACACAGCGATACAGATTCCCTGAAACTTGTACATGACCCACACGGCTCAGGTTATGTTCTTCAAGTATTTTATCAGCAAGGTAAGACACATATCATTTTACAGAGTGCAAGAAACCAGTGAAAAGAGATTTGCTTTAAAATCCAAATTAACACAACGACATACTATGGCAAACATACAATGGCAAACACACAAAGGCAAACATACAATGGCAAACATACAATGGCAAACAAACAATGGCAAACATACAATGGCAAACATACAATGGCAAACAAACAATGGCAAAAATACAATGGCAAACAAACAATGGCAAACATACAATGGCAAACAAACAATGGCAAACATACAATGGCAAACATACAATGGCAAACAAACAATGGCAAACATACAATGGCAAACAAACAATGGCAAACAGACAATGGCAAACATACAATGGCAAACAAACAAAAATACTTTTGAAGATCAACAGTTTTAAATAATAATGACGTTTCTTTAAAATTGAGAATGAAAATTGGGAATGTGTCAAAGAGACAACATAGACCCGACTATAGAGCAGACAACAGCCGAAGGCCACCAATGGGTCTTCAATGCAGCGAGAAACTCCCGCACCCGGAGGCGTCCTTCAGCTGGCCCCTAAACAAATATGTATACTAGTTCAGTGATAATGGACGTCATACTAAACTCCAAATTATACACAGGAAACTAAAATCAAAAATGATACAAGACTAACAAAGGCCCGAGGCTCCTGACTTGGGACAGGCGCAAAAACGCGGCGGGGTTAAACATGTTTTTTGGGATCTCAACCCTCCCCCTATATATAGCCAATGTAGAAAAAACAAACGCACAACAGTACGCACAGTAAAACTCAGTATAAGAGAAGTCCGAGTCCGATGTCAGAATAGGAAACAAAAGAAAATAAACAAAATGACAATAATACATAAATAACAACAGACTACTAGCAGTTACTGACATGCCAGCTCCAGACCTCAATTAAACTGATTGAAAGATTATGTCTTCATCATATGAATATCAGGCACAATCCCTCCTGTTAGGGGTTTAGTATTATACCGTCATAAAATATATGAGAAGAACATAACCCGTGTCATGCCAACAACTGGTTTTAGAATAAATGTGTTTAATTCCGATGCAAAGACCCTATAAGTGAATCAAATATGCAATCTTTAATGACCTGACAACAGTATCGTAACTATATCCCTTCTGAATAAGTCTGTTTTATGGTTTTGTTAGCTTTTGAGGTGAATACTGATATTTTTGTGCTTTGTAAAGAATTTACAATGTTTCAAGATCTTAATTTTTTTCAAATATAAAAATAAGGAGATGTTGTATGATAGCCAATGAGACAACTATCAACCAAAGTTCAAATTAAGTGGATGCAAGCAATTATAGGAAACCGTACAACCTTCAACAATGAATACTCATTACCTGATAATAAGCTATAAAAGGCCCTGACATGAAAAATATGAAACAATTCAGAGACAACTAACGGCCTTATTTAAAACAAATCAATTTACGAAAAACAAATACGACAGACATGAACCAACAACAATCACTGAACTACAGGCTCCTGACTTGGGACAGGCACATATAGAATATGGCGGAGTTAAACTAGTTTGCTGGCGCCAAAACCTCCCCAGTACCTGGAACAGTGGCGCAAGTCTAGTGAGAAATGTTAATAAATTGATTTTAAAGAAACTATGACAGAAATAACAATACAAGTGAGCTCTGTTAGTTTTAATCGAAATGATGCAATAGATTTTTTTTCAAATAGTCGTAAAATGGTACTTTCCTTTATATTGGTGCAGGCAAAAGTATAGAACAAGTTTAATCTATGATCTTGGAGATCATTTCTATTAAAATGTCACGTGACTAATAAAATTACCTTTAAACAATGATCAAAACAAAAATATGTCATTTGTTTAAGGAACCCGAACTAACTACGACACTCACGGTCATTCTTGTCCTAGCAGCAGCACAGGACCATGCCACAGGGGGGCGCAGTTTTATGTGATGCCACCGAGTCTTTATCATAAAGGCAAAACCTTCGCAGCCCTTGAATACGAGGTTTGTTGATCTCTTCATTTTAAATATAACATTTATGTTGGTGCACTTTAGTTGTGGAAATCGTACAAATGTGAGGATGAATTTCTTATATCAGAAGAAAAATCTAAAAAAAAAGAGATCAAGGTTATTTATATCAAGGAGACTTTAAATCGTTTGTTTTTTTTAAGCAGTAGGCGGGGATTTTTTCAGATTAAAAATTTTTATTTCAGAGAAATACTCTTGATTTTGGGAATCTTTACCTGGAAAACTAAGAACGAGTTCTTTTGTATATATACTCAACAACACAAATAACGCTACACTTTTCCCAATACATAGTAGTTTCATAATATCTTTTTTTTTCCAAATAATTGTAAACCTCTAGAATATTTTAGGCATAACCTTGTTTAATTTAAGGTTTTACAGTGAAATATTGCGTACTTCACAACGAGAAAGCCTTGTTTTCAGACAAAAAATACACGAGACTTATAACTTTACAACTGTGGCAATATCGGTCGTTTTGGGGTTGAAAATGTGTGTGTGTTTTTAAAGGATTTTGGATTAATGACTTCAGAAATTTTGTGTAACGATTTTGGCTTATATCAATCATTTAAAACAAAAGTATAACATGCAATAGAAATTTTCATTACAAAGAAACTAATAGAGATAAGAGTTTCTTTTGTTGTTTAGTATGTAATATAGGTGTCTAGCCGGTTTTAATTACTATACTTTATTAAGATTATTTGGATTTATTTCTAGGTGTATTTCAAGAGTGGATTTAATTTCGCCATTGGCGGGAAATTGCCCGGCCTATGGGGTGGCTCTAGAGATTCATGTAAAGGTTGTTCTGGCGAGGCACACAGCTGTTTCTCAACAAGACTGATGTGGCGAGCTAACGGACACTATGAAGTCTACGCTTACATACCATACAACCAGGACGGTGGGTTTAAACATTGGTGTGACCGTTATGAACACGATCATAAAAAAGTAATTTGTCCTTCCAGCACCTGTGGGACCGAAATAGGTTTGACATCGACCGATGCTTTTAAGTTCAAACCAGGACAGTGGTATAGAATTCGACAAGAAGTGAACCTAGGACATCCCAATCAACATGGCCGTGTAACACTCTGGGTTAATGATATAATGGTGGTTAATATGAACCTTGTTCTCCGTCAGTCTAGCAGTGTCCATATTGATGGAATGTTTTTCTCTACTTTCTATGGTGGAAAGTCAACTGACTTTGGAAAACATGGAGACACATATTCCTATTTCAAAAATTTCAGAATCACCGACGAGAAGAAGCCAATACATCATGGCGAATACTTTGTAGGAAAATAAAAACAATATATCTATATACTAGTAACTGTGAATCCTTTAGATTAGCAACTCTCAAAATCATCCGTTATGCTGTTTTTATTCCTAGTTAAAGACTTATCACACATTTACTTGCCATGTTTAACATGACGGTTGTCATTTGTGAAGCAGGAACTTCTTACCGATCCAACTTGTGCATATTTGAAAAAAGTCCAATAAAAAAACGAGAAAAAATAATAACCGTAGCATACACTTTTTGAAAATTTAATAAATTTTTCTGTAACTCAAGCAGAGAAGGGAAAATAAGAATAAAGTTGTCTCCATTTAATATATCCTTAATAACTACAATCAAGTCCGTTTAACTTTTAAGATAAACCCAACATTAAAAAAGATGCTTTATCATTCTGCAGCTTGTCGATTAGGGAACTCAGTCTGACATCAACTCTAGGAGATGCATACTACCAATTATATTGTCTAAGAAAGCTGATGCACAAAAGAAGCTTATGTTAGCAAGGGGACATTAACAAATTATAAGTATACAAGTGACTGACAACACTATGGCAATAACAAAAATCTAACTAACAGACAAACAAGTCCACAAAACAATACATAAGAAACTAAGACGGAGTAACACGAAGCCCACCAACATATTGGGACGATCTAAGTTGCTCCGGAAGGATAAGCAGATATTGCCCTAACATAAGCACTGTCATGATGTTCATGGTAAGTACAAATTCGGTGGTGTCAAATGTACAATAAACTGTAATTTCGCAAGAAAATTAGTGTCAATGGCAGGTCTTTGATTGCCTCAGGTAAATTTACTCACAAATTTAAGATTCGGGGCGATTAAGATCATGAACTTTTGTATTGATACTGGCTTTTGTTGAAGATCTCCGGTGTATTATGTTTGGTTTTTGTCGTTGGGTTGTATTAGAATCGACGTATGCAATGGACTACCACCCCCTTGATTAATTCAACGTACATATTTCATCCCCAAAATTAAGAACTTTCAAGGTACTTTTAAATCCAAACTGGCTATTTTCTGACTTACTAGATTACAACCAGTATCAAAACATAGACTGGTCCCCTGTGTATATGAGTTTGGTAGCCTTGTTGGAAATATTTTTGTTTTGGCTGATTTATGATGAAGGGCATTGACTGATTTAGTGATGTCTCGTCAAGACATTTGTTGGCAAAGGAATGTGTTAGTCAGGATATTTTCCCAGTTTTTCTATTGCATGTGTCAGTCTGTCTGAAGAGTCTGCGAAGGACAATAAACCAGATGGTATCTGTAAATTGCTATGCATTAAAATGATTGCAAAACACAAAACGTACAAAGAATAATGTTCGAAAGGGGTGGTGGATATAGTTTATAATTGCAGATCTGATGTATACATGTACTCAACGGCTTCCTTGCACTGCAGAAAGTTGACTTAAAGTGTAGTTCACTTCACATCTTTATACTTACATTTCTTAATAAAATAAAATCGAATAAATGTTCAACATGTACTTGTCGTCATTTTGCCCCAAAAAACCGATATTAGTTCAGAAATAGAAAACTGTTTGTTTAAGTCTAACTGGTATGGTACTCGCCCCGAATGATCAAGGTCGTTGGTTAGACCACAGTCAAAACAAAAACAAATCTTGAAATTTAATATTTGCAGCATTTCCACTAAACACGCGATATTTAGGAGTAATAGCAAATGAGTGTGGACACGGAGTCATAATAGCGTGTCCCGGTAGATATAGGCATTCCTGCTTCGTTAGTGGTACCTGTCGTGTTGCTAATGGCAAGTACACATCTGACGATAAGACGATTTCGTAGGTGTCAAAATCAAGAACAAGAAAATGGGATTATAGCTAGGACAAACATATATGGATATATGTAAAGTTAACTTAGAGTGTGAGATCTGAACTAAGGCGTATAGTAATCAATGCCACCTAAAATATAGGTTAGTGTGACTTCGTTTTATGAGACACTTTAATTCTCTCTTAGATGTACCCTTGAATCAGATCAAATGATTGCAACTCTGTTTACATTCAGTATGGACTTGTAATACGTCAGTTAACATGTCAATAAAGGTAACAAGTTATCTTATTTTCAAGTAATCCTGCTTACCTCCCCTTGATACAAGCCTATACCACGTTTTATCGTCCTCCCCTTCGCCTTTATTACGCTGCTCAGTCGCTCCGTGATTTCGTATCACAACTTTGAGACGTCGCAATGTCTGAGAAGTTGTCGGCGACGTCACAATGTGTGAGGAGATATTATCAAGCTTTCTTCCGTCTAGCTTAAAACTGTCATCAGATCACTAATAAACCGATAAACAGATTACCTGGTTTTCTATGTAAGGGTATCGTATCAGCCGATCGACACACATAAGGATTGTTTGCTCGTTCGCTGCGCTCACTCGCAAAAAAGATTCACATTGTGGTGTGCGGCTGATATTTTACGATATCAATGTGTAGAAAACACGATAATCTATACATATAATTGTGAGCCACATTATAGCTGAGATATTAACTCGGGTGTTAAAATTCACATAAGTCAGTGAAGAGGATAATTTGGGAATAAATTACTTTTTGTTGGATACAGCAAGGTATCCCTAGATGCACCAAGTGAAATTATTTGTTGGTCACATATCTGAGATATGAACTTGGACGTTAATCTCAATGTTTGTAAATGAAACGTCAAATGAAGGTCAGAGTGGCATCTATAAGTGACATACTGTTTGCAAAATGCTGCTAAACTCCTTAGATGCAGCTCTACCAAGATTTATATGATTGCAGGTCTCTTAATATTAAAGGTGTGGACTCCGAGATAACATTTAATAAGTCAATACGGAGAAAATGTGAATCAGGGTAACTTACATGTTATAAGATGTTATAGAGTAACAGTACACATATGTTTTGGGGGTAAACGTCTTGATGTAAAAACATAAAGACTATTTAGTTTTTCTTGGTGGAAATTTAATGAAAATTAAGTGTCAATCGTCCTGTCTCCTGGGTTTTTAATGTTGAGCCAGTATAACTTTTGTTTATTTGTATAATTTTAAGTTTTTAGTTAGCCTCGTTCTCACGGAAACTCGAAGAAGTTTCTGCTCCGTGAATGATTGACAGTTGAAAGTAATCCCGGTAGAACAAATCCTCACATTTCCCTCCATTATATTTTCCCGCGTACAACGAGTGGCAAAAGGAATACACAATATCAGATAATATATCGAATGTATAATGAATTTATGGTCAATCAAAACAAAACAACATGGAATATAGGCTTGGAATCATCTGACTTTTTGAATATCCCTTGGCAGTCGATTTTGTAATTGTGAATAAAAAAATAGATGTGCGGGTATACGAGATATAAATGCGAGACAGCAATCCAGAGACTCAAATACTAGTAACCATTTAGATTTCTAGACAAACAGTTTAGGGTTTCAACAATAGAAAAGTGTTTAGACATTATCGCTCCGAGCCGAAAAAAAGGTTGTGTAGGAATTAAAGAGGTTATTACAGATTTACCATCGACACCCAATTCTCCAATAACAAACACATTAAGAAAAAGGACGATAACTGAGGAAGTTCCTCACTTTGGAAAATCGCTAATTGACGGAGGCAACTCGTCAACTACAGTACTGTTATTCATTAAGTAGTAATAAATGTTTAGTTTGAGTTAATACTTGTTTAACCAGTTGAAATTTGTTGATGAATTCATGTCCTGAATCTGAATATAATGATATTGTAGAAAGTGTATGTGTTTGTGCCCTTATACGTAAAATGTTATTTATAAACTTGTCACAAAATAATATATTGCGTCTGTTTTTTGTTTTTGTTTTATTAGATGTTAACTGCAAGCTCTGTGCCTACACTCTATCTCTTGAAAAAAACAAGTATCTTTGTTAAATGACATTAGTTTTCAAACGGAAATTACCGATAATTTGTGCGAATATATCCATGTCGAACCAACATAATCATGATAATCAGGATGTTTTGTATAATTGCAAACTATTCACCGTATATTTATTATATACATATATCTCAAGTACAACTTACTAATTTATATGCTTTTCATGAGACATGACGTAATACATCAATATCAAGGGTTTGATGCTGCCTTTGTAACCGTGACTGATATCGATTACGTAACGTCATACATATTAGGGGTTTGATAAAATTTTTGCAACCATGACTGATATCGATATCATCACGGATACACACACAATTTATTTGTATTGATCATAATATTCTTAGCATTGATATGATAGCTTTTGCATATGTATAATGAACGGAGCCATTTTGAAATCTCGTTCATGGCACAGTCACGTTGTTATGTGAAATATCGTCCGAGACAAAGTCACTGATTTTGGTATGTAGGTCGGCATGGTCGTTTGTTTTGTTATTGTGTTGTCTATTATCTTATTAATAATGATTACAGTTCAATGTTCTTCCAGCACTGATTGCAATTTCTTTTGTGTACTTTTTGTTATTCGACTTATCGGGATAAAAACGATATTAAATATTTACCCCGTCACATAGTTATGTGCCTATCTCATGTCAGGAACTCCCTTATTGATTTCTTTAAATATCAATCTGTTTATCATTTTGGGATTTCGTATTGATGGCAGATTTTTGGTAGTTAGTTGTTCACTTGGCGTGATTAAAATATTGATGACTTGATTGTGTAAAATCTACTCCGAGGCACACTGACCGATTTTAGAGTAAAGGACGGCAATATTTTTTGTTGTTGGTTTGCTTCCATTTACTAGTCTTTGTTGTCGACGATACTGTTAATATATGATTGATTGAGGTTTTGTCTTTAACATTTATTTCGCAGCGGTCAGTTTTTATTGGTGGAGGAAGACGGAGTACCGGATAGAACCATCGACGTTCGGCAGGAACACTGGCAATCCAGAGTTAATGAAGATTGGAGTCGAACGCACCTTTCAGAAAGTACCTCTTGTATTACTTGTGAATCGTACTAAATATGCATGCAATATTTGATCGAGGCGTTGCTAAGAATCTATACTATAGATAAATGCCT